TAATTCTTGAGGAGGCAAGGGAAGTTAAATAACCTTTACCTTCTCAAGTGAAATTAAGTATCCTAATTCTCTTGTTTATCCAATTAAGAAGCTTCATATTTGTTCAAATACCCTTTAAAGAGATGCAATGATAGACAACAATTGTTAAATCCTCACCAATGGTAATTGATTCAATCGAGAGTAGATTGTCTACTTTATTTTCTAACAAAATATCAATCAAAAGTGAAAATGATACAAACCTACTTAAAGACAATGATTAAGCAGAAGAGGAACTGACGAATAAATTTTGTAGAGAAAATGCCTCAAAACTTGAAAGTCTATGAGGCAATGCTCATTAAAACTCCAATAGATATTCATCTAATTCAAGTAGCGTAAGATGTTTGAGAGACTAGAACATATGAGGAAGGTTTTTTCCTTCATCTAGGGGAATCATAGGAATCAATAAAAATCAACATAACTCGATTGACCCTACACTAGAGTTAAAGTCATGAATGAATTGTAGCAATATTAGACAACAATGATGGAGAGCAACTAGAAGCCAAAATGTTCATTATAGCTAAAGTAGAGGATTGAAGATGCAACATTCATAAATGCTTTGATGAGGATGAGGAAGCAAGTCTATACATAATATGTTTGATATAATATTTGTATATGTCCATATCTTCATGCTTTACATAGCATATAGAGGGCTTACAATAGGCTTGATAATTTTATTTTAGTTAAATTTTATGGTCGTTTTAGTCCTATAAATGTAATTTATGTGCAATCATTACATAGAGGCAAAAGAACATAAAAGAAAACCATCCAGGTAGCTATTTTGAGGATTTTCTAGCTCCATAGAGTGATATAGAGTATTAGCCAATACAACACCATAGAGCTACCCGAGTTCTACATGACTAAATGGGTCTTTGAGGTATTGTCGAGTCTTGGTTTGTTGCCTTACTTCATAATAGTATCATATAAGTACTTATAAGGACTTTTGTCCATGATAGACCACCTTAGTCCTTTTGTCATATGATCATTCAAACTTGTAAACATCTTCTTTGCATTCCTATTGAAAATTTTTTTAGTTAGATTTCTTTGAGTTCCACTTATTACTAAAAAGGCTCACATTTATGAATTATCTTCCTCTTATCGACTCTATCTTTTTACCTATTGAGAGTTGGAAGAGTAAGTCATAATCTTATACGGGTTGAGTTGAACTCATCAAAACTATTATTCATGGGAAAATTATGTATTGGTGTTCTTCATTTTAACTTTCTCAAAAGGAAGTGACCCATGTCAAGCAGCTTATGACTTGATTTCTTTAGATAGAAGATAATATTGGGCTGACAGCCCATATTCAACCCAATGTGAGCTTTATCAGCCCACAACTCACCCTCTTTTAACCTAACTCTAATTTATATTAAGGCGGGTGTGATGGCTATAAAAAGAGGCAGAAAAAGGTAATAACGAGACAGTTTTTTGTAGCTACGGGATTCCAAAAAAAATGAGGAGAACAAGGTAGAAAAGGAAGAGAAAGAAAGGGAAGAAGACAAGGACAACACAGAGAGACTGTTCTCAATCATCTAGTAGTGCTTTCATCTCAGGTTAGATCAAATCTACAGTAGATTCTTACTGTGATTACTTGGGGAGGATTTAGATATTGTGCACAGTAACGTGATCCTTGTATCCTAGTTATTCTCTTGTGATTGTTGCTAAGGTTTTAGGCAAGAGATTGAGATTTGTATATTCATTATTATTATAGTAGATTATCTCTAGTTTGCCTCATGGTTTTCACCCTTCATATTGAAGGGGTTTTCCACGTATATCTTGGTGTTCTATTTTATTATGGTTCCATTTAATTCTACTGTGTGTTATGGCATGCTAGTATTTGTTCATATACAAAAGTTATTTCTCTTTATACCCCATCAGATAACTGTAAGGGATTTCATAAAGTCTATTGGACAGTCGTTTATTCTTCGAAGAGAAATGCAACCTTAGAATTTACAGTATTTGTACCCTCAACCAAGCGTTGCATAATAAGATATCTCCAAGCCATTACCTCCGAGAAGGATTCTTTATGGGTTAAGTAGATTTCTAGTAGATATCTATAATGGTGAACTATATGCACTTTAAACTCTCCGACCTCAATATCTTAAAATTTTAAGAGTGTTTTCTACACCTTACTGACTCTCTTATTTTATATCTCATTAGTGATGTCTTAAAATTTTAAGAATGTTTTCTACACCTTGCTGACTCTCTTATTCTATATCTCATTAGTGATGAATCTTGCTCCTTCTCATAATTAGGCTCTTGGCACCCCAAACAAACAGTTTCTCCATCATCTTTTGGATATAGATATAATCCTATGACTGGATTTTTTAATTATGATATGATGGGGCATGAGAAGTTGATTATCCCATTCTCAATCTCCTACCTTGCATCAATTTATAATAAATTGAAGGATATTAATTGTGTAACAAATTATCTAAGTGACAATATCGCATGGAAATTCATGCTCCAATTAACTTACAAATTCATCAACCACTTGCCTCTTGAGAGTACTAACTGATATGGTTCAAGAGTCATATTCTAAAATTTCCATTTATCACTAGGCTTATATTTCTTGATAGGTTTACCCATACATGATCGGCTACTCGGTTGGAGAATTGTTAATCTTATTTCTTTTGCCACTCTCAAAGAGGAGAATACAACATATTGAATGTAATTACTCGATAGAAATCCGACGGGTCTCACTCTTCTCTTGGATAAGTTATTCTTTTAGTATGATTAATTTTTTGAGTTTTATTTTATAGAATCTCTTTTTTTTTTATCTTCGGACTCAAAGAAATCGTCTCTTTTTATAATAATAATAGCAAATCAGCTAGTGTTATCATATCCTACAACTTAAATGATGTCGATTGTAAATTTTATTCGACTATCAGCATCCTTAATGATAATGCTAAGAACTATAAGATAGATTACTAAACTCTTTTTGGTTATCAACTCATATGGTATCGATGCGACCTTTGGAACATGACTAAATTGTTATTAATACGATGCTATATTCTTCATACTTGTTTAACTGAAGCATCCATCCCTTTCTTTTTTTTTTTAATGAACTACAAGTTATTCGTCATGGTATCATGAAATAAAATATAGATTCTTCAAACTCATCCATTCTAGTAAAAAAAAAAACTAAGATGCCACAGAAATACTAGATTCTCCTGTCTCAAATGACAAACCTTTGCAATGATGTTTGTGATGTGTTTTTTTATCTCACACACCTTTGTAATAGTGTAGGAGAAATCCTCATGCAGCCTGATAGATTACCCTTACTTATTTGCCTTACCAAAGGTAGCGTAACGATGCACACACTTCTTGAGTAGATGCGAATTTTCATCAACGCCACAATCCGACATGGTTACTCGTTGTCTCCGATATATTGGAGTCTTGCTTTTATCTTTCTCTTTAATACGTGTTCAAGTAGTGAAGCATGTCAATATCATATCGTAAGATCTCTTATTTTATTTTAATACATCTCTTATATTTTTGCAAAAAAAATTATAACAATAGTTAAATTAAAAATTACATATTTCCTCTTTTTCTTCCTCTCTTCTTCTTCGTTCTTCCTTTTTTTTCTTTTTTTTTCTCTTATTCTTACTAGATGGTAGTAAGCGTTGAATATCGGATTTTGATGATGAAATCAATTGATGAAGTTACGATCTAATCATCGTTTAAGTGACGCAAGACTAACTTCGTTCATGGAAAAATAAATCGATTGAAGTAGGAGAATCAAACATTAGGCCAGAATGGATTATATCAGAAGATTGGATGTCCGGTCGAAGGATCGATCGATGTGCTGGCAGAAGGACTTCGTGCCATGAGTTCGAGCATCGGGTCAGAAGGATCGGACATTGCGCCAAGGAGAACGGATGTTGTAGGAGGTCAATATGTCGATCGGGCAATACGCCAAAGAAGAGGACGATGCGCCAAAGGTTCGGAAGAAGCGTCGAATGAACGAATGACATGTTGGATAACATAGTATTATTGTCTTGTAATCGGTCGTCTTAATCGAAGTAGTTTAGGTTTTAATTGAATTGGCTTTAAGTATAACCATACCAACTTAATTAATGGCTCATTGAGGTTGAGTTAGGCTTATTGGGAGGCTCATTCAGTGACCCAGTTAGGTCAGGCAATGGAACCGCCTATGAGATGAAACGTACGAAGTGTATGTTTTCTAAAAAACTCGACGGTGGTACAACTAGTGTCAAGCGGTGGTACCAACTAGACAATCTCCCATACTGTCAAGCGGTGGTATCGCCGGTACTTTGAAAACCCAAGATGAGACATTTCTTTGCTCTATTTTTGAAGTAATTTTGGGTCTATAAATACTGCTTGAGAAAACAAGAAAAAGAGTAGAAAGGGAGAAAGAATCTTTGAGAAAATAGTATCGTAATCTCTTTTAAAGTTTAGTCTCATCCTCCTAAAGTTAAAAGTTTTATAAGGAATGAGTATGGTCTATTGTAAAAGAAAGATATAAAGATTCTCTCTTGAGCTCGTGAAAAAAGGAGAAAGAGTTGTAAAGAGGATAGTTGATCTTCGTTCATTGAAAGAAGATCATTAGTGAACACCAATAATCTCGACAGAAGAAAAATCGAGAGTAAACGTAGGTCACGATGATCGAACCGATGTAAATTCAATATGCATTTATCAAACCACTGTAAAACATTTCTGTTGTGCTTTTTATTACCATTACTTTTTAATTTAATTGTCTACTGCCCTCCCCCCTTCTCTTAATATTGTTTACTATCACAACAGTAAAGTATTTATATAAAAGATAATGAGAGAATGAGAAATCAACTCATTTAAAATATATATTTTTTTTAAAAAGTAATAATTTTATATTTTAATCCCTGAAAATTACTAATTACAAATCGATCCTTGAATTTTCATCGAGGAGATGAAACAGCTGCCTAGTTAGAAACTTGCATTATTACTATATCAATATGGTATCAAAACTTCAACTTTTACATTTTAGTCCCCAAAAACTTATAATTAATCCTTGGAATTACAAAAGTTATCACCATGAGGGATAAATTTCAACAGTAAGATTGATGGGTTGGACTATCTAGATTCATATCCATGGATGATTCGTTGGATCTGAGAGAATTAAGCTCCTGATTGTGGTTGGGATCATGATTTCTAGCCCCACCATTTGCATAAACGCCACATCCCTGAGCAAGGTGACAATGCTGAAAGCTCCCACGAGCAGGACCGGAAAGTGGATTTGAGAAAACACAGTTTTTGGCTTGATCAGAGTCACCACTAGGAGGGACACAACCGGTTGATGCCTGAGAAGATGGATCAAACAATGGTTGGGCGCTCGAGTTCATGAAGTGCATTGTGGATTGGGTTTGTTGTTGGAATTCCGATATCGGTGATGTTGATGGATTCTCTACTTCGAAGTCCATCTCATTCTGCATGAAATGTATATTCTCAATTGAAAATTTACAAATGCTAAAAAAGCAAAACCATGATTAATGTATTTATCCTGCTAATAAAATGAGAAATTGACAGAATAAAAATGTATTTATGGAGACAGGCATCTTGTTGCTTCCATAACAAAACAAGATCATAAGCAACCACGTAACATCCAAGCAATTCAAAAAGTATGACCATACAAAATAACTATGATAACCTCCTTATCGATCTAATTGGCCACATCAATTTTTTTTTTATTTGGACGATCAGCAATCATAAATCACTATTTGTGCAGATCAAGTAAATAAAACTCTAGAAAATGATCTACTTTGAATCCCCAGAATGCTAATTAGAAAGACCAAATACAAAAAAGATAAAAAAAAGTAGTATGCAGCCCGATGCTGAAAGACAACTAGTTCCTGTGTGACATGGTGATATAGTTCTCTGTTCTCCCAAATCCTTGTCACATGTTACACCAGGCAGAATTTTGCCAAAAGATATCTGTGTTTTACTGCTGATCACCATAATGTGATGGCAACAACAAGTATTAAGTTGTAAGCATATGCAGGATTGTTAGTTAACGTTTAACTTCTCCTTGAAACTATTTTTCTCCTCGAGTAGTTACAACTCAAATAAATTCATTCACAGTTGAGAATGAGTTGGCAAGTATCACACAAAGGAAAACTGACACCAGAATACACGATTAATTCTATTATTATCATAAAATAATCCCAAATGATATATTAGATTATGTTCGTATATGATAAATACCAGTTGGACCCAATTGTATTGATCAGTATTTACAGGTCTAACCAAGTACATATAACAAAACACAGCTTAATACCACTATACATAGAGTTTAATTTAGTTTTTCTTAAGTATTATGTTCAATGATACTTGATGACACAGATCTTTTATACCCCTCAGTATATTGGTACCATTCTAGTCTGATAGTTGACTAAACTTGGTTCCAGACTGATATCTAAACCTTGTTACATATAGTATCTATGTTTGGTGAGAAAATTAGAAAGTCATCCTCGAAATTGACTTAACTAATGTGACTCGATGATAGAAAATCAGTTCACATAATAGTTTCTCTAACTCAAAATCATTTAAAGGAATAGCATATTAAAAAACACTGCTAGTTTTGAATGTGAAGGTATGTCTGATACAAATTACAAAAACACAAATAGGTACAAAAACGTGAACATATATATATATATATATATATATATATATATATATATATATATATATATATATATATATATATATATATATATATATATATATATGGTGAATGGGGTATAGCAACCACCAAATTTGTCTAGTTGCTTCACTAGATGAATAAGCAGAAAGAAATAAATGAAGCAGAAGATGTGGCAAAGCCAACCAGCAAGCAATCATCATAAAACCTGAATATGGGTGGCAATGTCAGCTACAGTCAACCTTGATCCAATTTCATCCTGACTCAAAATCCACTGGCGGAGCTTATCCTGTGTTAATGAATATTAAAGTAGCTTTGTGAGTTTCTATAAACTATGCATCTAATTTAACAGACTTAAGCAACTTTAAGACCAGCTAGTAAAGGAAATATTAAAGATAAAAATACATGATATGCTTGCTGATCTATTGATTTTTTTTTTCCCACATGTTAGTCCTCAGATTTGGAAGACAATTCAAAATAAGGATAGGTGTTACCTACAAGCAACAGCACAAAACATGGAACCAAAGAAATCACATAAAAGGTGGGAAGCAAAGCTCCAATGACCTAATGGGGAAATTCGCTCAGTTTTAAGAGATTCCAAGCTTAGCTTAGACAAGATTTGAGGGATGGACTCCGCTACAATCTCTAGTGACTAGTACATGGAGCATTTTACTTCTTTTTCCCCCCTGTTTTATTACATTCCAGGTTCTTAGTTTACCAGCAAGTAAGAAATTGTTCAACGATATAATGTGACGTCAAGGTTGCTGTATTAAAATGACTAAGAAAACCCACAACAAGCGAATGTAAACAGCTTTCATCGGTCCAAACAATGAGACTCACGGTTTGGAAAGTTTGCTATCTTATGAAGTTAACACATTCGCAAGTTAAAACAGGAAAAAGAACTTGGATTTTATTACTACACTGTGACAAACAAAGTGCATATAGGAAAAGCCATGAGTTCTGGCAATGCATAATGCATCTCGCTGTCAATGTTGTAAAGCTGAATTAGCAAATGTTGTCGCTCTCTTATGAGGTCAAAGAATAAGACCGCCTCTTTCAGAGGAACAGTTTCCGAACAGGGAGGTAGTGATTAGTGAGAAGAGCATATCTAAGTCAAAAAAACACAAGGACCCCATTAAATGGATCAACAAAAGGTATAAATCACAATCGCAGGCGCAGATAGTTTCCACTTCCCAGTATTGATGATAGCAACACATGATCGTAAAGAATGATGGTCTACAATCCGAATCTAAGTACAGTGATCATGGCGGGGAAAAGGTTCAACTGATTGTGGAAATCGCTAAGTTCATTTGACAAACAAATGCAAAAAAGTGCATCACAAACACTCGTAGAAGCATTTGATCGCTCCCGTACACAAGAATCAAATAATGATTCACAAACATAGCAGCCTTTCTTCATTTGACAAAAAAGATATTTCAAGAATAAAATAACCGAACATAATGCGTTGTCTTAAGAAGAGAAATCAATCAAGCAAGACCTAAGTACGACCCATAGCATCCACATGGAGCAAAACGAGACGACCTTTTTACCTCATGATAGTAGAAAAAGGGATCAGAGCGAGATCCCCGCAGGATCGATCACCGTCGATCGGGAGAACAGAGAAGCATAAAACATAAAGGTGCGACCAGAACAAGAACCAAGTCACGAGGATGAGGGGGCAAAGAGGAGGAGGGGAGAGAGCGAGGAACCAGGGCGTGGCGCTCGCCGGCGTGGAAGGAAAGAGCCCGGTGATGCACGGATTGCGTGTAGAGCTGGGAGACGGAGTTGGCGGCGCCGCGGAAGGTGGAGTAGAGGGTCCGGTCGGCCTCGTCCAGCGGCGTTGCCGCCTCCTCCGTTTTCCGTTTCCTCGCCATCACAAATCCCTCCTATCTATTATCACGCAAGCGGACCAGCAGTTTCGATCAATTGACCAAGTGGCGAATGAAACCCTAGACACAAAAAAGACGAGGGAGGGACGGAGGGAGGGAGGGAAGGGAGCGAAGGGCTATATATCTTAAACGCGCTCCACCAACGCCGAGAAAACGTGAAAAATGAACGAGGGGGGGGAAAAGAGTTTTATATTTTATATGGGACAATTTATAGAAGGAAAAAATGATTATTGTTTACTATAATAATAATAATAATAATAATATTAATAATATTAATATTAATATTAATATTAATATTAATTATTTTGATACTAAAAAATTAATTTTACATTACCTAAATTTTTATTTAAAATTTTTAATTAGGTCTTTATAGATTTTGTTGTAGTTCTTAACACTAATATTAACCATCATTTTATATCTTCTAACTATTGCATTCGTAAATCGTCTAGTTAGATGTTCATATAAGCTTAAATGATTCTCTCTCATCGAGATGATACATAGTTGTTCATAAGTAAAAAAAAAAAATTTCTATAACTCATATATCTATCATAATACAAATATTTTTTATAAATTACTTTTACCCAACACCCAAATCAGTAATGTATTATCGGTTTCATAATTATCTTATAATTTTTTTAATCTCAAATATATTTGATAATGATACAAGACTCCTAATTAATACCTTTTGTCGTTTTAACCATTATATTTTTTATTTTGAATAATATCAATATAAATCTCTCCATATTTTTGAATAATTGATTCAAAATATCTAAATTTTTTACTTAAAAATATTTCTTATTCATCCAACTTAACGATATTCTCCTAATATTACTAATATCATCAATAATATCATCAGTAAATAACGTACATCAAGGGGTCTATCATATAAATGACTAGTAAATTCATCCATTATCTATGTGAAAGGATAGAAACTCAATATAAAACATTAATGTAATCCTAGGAAATTTACTAGACACACTCTATATAGTTCTAATACTAATAGCTACATTATCGTACATATTCTTAATAACATCAATATAATTAGTGAATACATTTTTTTCTAAAACTTATCATAATAAATCTTTAAAAATTTTATTATAGGCTTTCTTTAAGTCAATAAAAACTATATACATTTTTTTCTCCCTATACTTTTTCATTAATTATTTTAATAAATAAATATTTTTTAAAATATAAAACTAAATTAATTTTTAAAAGAATTTTTCAAGCATTATTCTACTTTCAATAAATTTTTGTTAATATTTCACAGTATGATTTATGATTTTAATTCCTCTATAAATTGAACAATCTTATATGCCATCCTTATTCTTGTAAATTGATATTAAAAAAAAATTCTCTATTAAAAATTTATATTTTTAAAAAAATATATGTTTTTCCTATAAATATCAATTCTATCCTTCTAATATTAACAAGTATTTTTTTTTTCAAAATCCATTTGGTTCAATGGACTATTTGCACCTCATCTTCCTTATGTCCTTACCGTGTCTCTTTCCTCTTACACTTGAGCATAGCCTACCTTCCTAATCAACATCTCCTCTCTCACCTTCCTTGGTTCTCACTCCAACTCTTCCCCATATCATATAATCGTGATTGTCATCCTCCTTTCCCTCGCCTTTCTCGCCCCCACGAGTACCGTGTTTCTTCTTCAATGCTAGTGACTCATCAAAACCCCTACTCAAGTAACAACAACACTAAGATTTTTGATTACCTCTTTTGACTTCTTTTATTTTGATCCTCAGATATAGTGCTCTTTATTTATCTACCTTGGCACCTTCATCAATGCTGATGACGATGACTACAGTAAAGATGGTGACAACCCCATCATTGATCTAATGGATAGATTGCTAAATTGGAAGATAGGGGCTCTTAGAGCTTTGGTCCCTCCTATCGTTGCCATGCTAGTTTCGACATAGGCACGAAGATAGAGATGGGGACCCTATCGAAGGAGTATTATTTGCTGCATTTGTCCTCACTGAGGGGAAGCCCTTGAAGGATGGATATATCAATGAATGAATCTAATGTAGTAGCAAAAGTTCTGAATTGAAGATCTTAGAGTTACAATTGTTAGAAAAAGAATAAAAAACCAAGATTGGATGTGGACAAACAGTATCTAGCTTAAAAAAATAAAGTTAAAGATAGAAAAGATAATAAAAATAATGACACTAAGATTTAACATGGTAAAACACTTAATTACTTGAGGGAAACTATTAGAACCCTTGCAGAT